TTTTTTTTTTTTTTTTTTTTTTTTTTTTTTTTTTTTTTTTTTTTTCGTTCGATGAGATACTGCAACATCTATTTCATTTTTCATTTGACATATCGGAATATAATTTATTAATACTCATTGCGACAAATCTAACGAACAAACGTACGACATGTTTAAAAATGCGACACAGACAAAAAAAGATATAAGCGAGTTAAAATAACAGAGAAAAATATCAAGAAAAAGAATAAAATGAAGAGAAATGAGATGAAAAGACGAAAATCAGGAAATGTAAAAATCCTATCCACATTTGGTCTATTCTAAATACCGTACAAGTTTAGAAAAGACCAAATTATTAGGTACCATTATACAATATGTGTTATATACAATAGATTAATTATTATTTGTCTTTATCGACTATTTACAACGAACAATGTATAATTTCTGTTTTAATCACAATATTTCGACTGTTTCACCTTTCTTTGCACTTCCGATTCATCCTCCATGCCGTATAGATGATACCGGTGCTTCATTTCGGTCGCAACAGACTTCAATAAAAAATTAATCAAAACAGTAAAAAGTCAACGTAAATTCGTAATAAAAAATCATTGTAAATAGGAAAATACGACAGAAATAAAAAAAAGTAAGGTGAATCGTATAAAAAAAGAGAGAAGGAAAGAGAAAAAGAGAATCCTACTGTCAAGAATCCTACTGAAGTATTCGTGGCGAATAAATTAGTTTATCACTAAACTCACCAAACGTGACCGAACTCTTTTTGGCATATCTTCCTGTAAGCTGTATATATCGTTTCGCTTCAATGGAAGCTGCGAGCCGTCTTCGAAACTTACCTAACATTAAAATTAAAAACGCTCAATATATAACATCATATAATAATATACCAATTAGAAATGCTAGTAAAGAAGATACTAGTAAAATTATTACGAATTACTCGTTACTTACAGTATACATGATCCGATGATTTGTACCTTCGAAGATACCGTTGTACAAATTACCATCTGTCCATTTCACAACAACTGCAGCACATTGTTGCGGTGGGTTTCCAGGATCGTGGTTCTGCAAAGAGTAACAAAATCCATTGTATTTTCTAGGAAGAAAATAAAGCTACATGTAGAACCAAAACGTAGAGCAAAAACTTACCATAATATCTGATGGATATAAATCGTCGCTAAAACTGTTATCGCTAAACGTCACCATGTAAAATAGAGTATCGTGTATGGAATCTACTTTAGCTTTATAATATCGGGTATTTCGATGCTTTGCCCAAACAATTTCTCCCTGTCGAAGTGGCGGTATTTTTTCTTTTCCGTCGTCGTGTCCATCGCATGTTACCTATACAAAAGAAAACGTAAATTCCCATTGTAACATGAACATAGTTGAAAGTACATAGGTGTGTATGTTTTTTCTCTGTAATGTACCTGAAGTTCAAGTGAATTGTATACGGGTATCGTGAACGTGGCGCCAGAGACAAGACCACAAGACGGGTGAAACAAATTGGTACAGTAACTGCATTTGAGACATGCACCATCTTTCTGTCCGCAATAACAGCACTGTTGCTTAACATTGTCCGGTTTTATGGTCAACACATTGATAGGATCTTTATTTATAGCATCCTTAAAAGTGACTCCAGGTAATAAAAGAGCGCACAGTATATGTGCCCAATTACTATCGCTGGTTCGTTTAAGAGCACCTCCACGCATAGGACACAAACAACACATCTATGGAAAAATTAATTGGGGTATTTATTAAAGAAGAAAAAATAAGGCTGTGGTTGCAGCAGATGCTGCACGTTCTGACGAATGAAACATCTAAATATATATATATAGAGCTACTCGTGAGAAATTATAATTAAAATTAAAACTAACACAATAAATAAATAATTACCTATTCTCAACAAGTATATTGAATTTGAAACTTGAACTGCTGATTTTATTTTTATTTGTTATTAAAAGGGATTTCTTGTATTAAAAATTGTTTAATACTTTATTGGCCACAGTTAAACAAAATATAAATAAAAACATAAATATTTAATCCAGGTTCTTGTTTAAGATCTTTAGATTTGCTTGTATCCTCAAAAGCAAAAGCCATCATAGAGCTTTCTCGAAACACCAAACATTCATTGAACTTTATTTATCTGAGTTTCAAACATAACGAAATATAAAATTTGAAATTCTGGAAACTATTAGATCTCGACATTTCGTATAACTTATCTCTAGTTTTTCCAGCAGTAAGTAATCTTAATATTTATCTGTTGCAACATATTAGTCAGAAAATGCATTTAGTATATCTTCTAATTTGCAAAAATGCCACAGATATACGTACCACCTGTGTTTTTCCAGCTTTGCATTTATCGCAAGCCCAATTCCGCAAATCTGTAGGTAATACAGTGATTCCATAACAGGAGGCATGAACCGTGACATGACATTCTCTACAACGTAAAAGCTTATCATTTTCCGGCTCAACGATTTGCTCCTTCGAGTTTGCAACAAATATATTCGCAGATACCTAAAAAAAAAAATAACACGTTTCGATAAAATTTCTCCTAGATATCTTATCAAAAAAGTCGAGCAAAAAGTGAACTACTTACCCATATAGGTGAACTCTCTGGTAAAACTGTGGGTTTACAATATTTCCAGTCCGGTGGCATTAATCTGCTGTGACCGTTGCAGCTCGAAGTAAATGGCGCGCAAATTGCGCAGTGAGATATCTGAGCACTCCAGTAATCGTTGAATGCCTTTAGCAAATCGTTATTCGGAACGCTAGGATATAACATGTCGGATATATGTCCCGGTATCATCGACACGCGATGATCTACGGAACACGTGACTATATTCGTCTCGTCCGAATTCGATGTTGTTGCGAGTGTCTTTGTCTCTGTCGGTTCTTTCTTCCTGGTGATTGACTTCTTCAGCTTTTCTTTTGATTTCCGTCTCGAACTCGTTAACTGTTTCAGCAACGGTATGCTGGTACACATGCTCTCCGGACTCTTTTGTGTATTCTGAATTTGTAATTGATCATCGGATATTGTCACGTTTGGCAAATGCTCCTGTTGCAACGGCGAAAGAATAATCGTTTTCGGAGAATCTTGTACATCCGTGTTGGAATGATTTATGGTATACTGCGTGCCAATATCTAACATCGTGATATTCGTGCTTTTACTGGCAACTTCCAATGGGCCATCTACCTGCGTTGACACGGTCTTGCTGACAATCGTGCCTGCGCTTTTCAGATGTTTCCTGCTGCAGGTGTTCTCCTTCTGATTAATCGATTTTTTCGCGAGCAACTGATTCTGCGATTTCGGTATAATCTTTACAAAAGAACCGGCCGTGCCCGGTACCGAAGCAGTACTTTGTAAATATTTCTTATTAAAATCGATCATCATCGAGGGCTGTGAATTCAGCGCGATGTTCGTACACTTTGAAGTTGTGGCCAAGAAGAGGGTGTTGTTGCCCGTTAAATTCAACGATGCTTCAGAAGTATCCACCGTCGCAACTATCTGGTGAGTTTGTTTGTTGTCTCTCATGTCCTTCAAGAAAAACAAGCTGTTATTGCCAGACGAAGGCTGCCAAAATTTTGTCGCTATCATCTTCGAGGTTTCCGTGGACGATCTTTTCCCTAGAGTCTTAATATCTGTATTCGTTCCGGTTACACGCATCACAGATTGATTTAGCGGTTGCGCCAAAATTGCATTTTTTGCAAAAATACCTTCTAGCCGTGGTATCTGAATAGCGCACGGGCTTACGGATTTTAAAGTTTCCACGGACTTCGTCTCGTTCCCTGCCTCTTGGGGTATTTCTTTCTGTAAAATCGGTGGATTGGAGAAATTAGTATTTAGAAACATTACACCTGGATTTGAGAGTTTAGGTTCTCGCGGTTTAGCAATAGGCCAAGTCTTTGGTGAAATTACTATGTTTCTATGTGGTACATGATTATCACTCTCTGCTCGGGTTGACTTTTCGGAACCAATCTTCGGAGACACTTCAGTTGTAGGTGTGTTGTACGCCGATTTCAGCACGCTCAACCTGGGAGCTTTTATGATATCTTTCTTTGGATAATTAAGTATCGATCTTTCACTTATAATCGTTCCCACACTTTTGCAGCTAGTGTACGTGCCTGGCTTGGTTTCTTGTATAGTGACATTCGTATCCTCGCCAATATATTCAGATTCTACAGCCTTGTCAATCTTATTAGCGGGTTTCACTTGATCCAGAGAAATATTCTTCAATGTAATTTGCTTCGAAAATGTTGGTTTTATTGTAGCTATACTGCTTTTCTTTGTACTCTTTGCATATAAATTCATTCGCTCGTCCGCATTATTATCCAAAATCTTCTCCATTTCTTTTGCATCGCTATATATAGAATTTGGAACATGATTGCTGTTTGTAATATTTATAACATTCTTCTCTTTGACGGGACTCACGCTAGCTTCGTTATCAAAGAATACTGTTGTTCCTGATAGATGATTGGTAATTTCCTTATTAACTGTCGATTTGTGTAAATTAAGACTTGGCATAGCCATAAGTTGCCGTTGCACGTCAGCATCAGACACATCCAAAGGCTCATTAGTATTGAAAATAGATATATCCAAATGTTTGCGTTTAGTTTTACTCATGTTCTTTGATTTGACTTTCTTTGGCTCTCCAGACTTCGAATGTTTCTTCCTCTTCTTCACTGGCCTGTCAGACACTTCCAAGTCAGAATTTTCTTCTATTTTTATATTTCCAACGACATTTTCCCTTGACATAATAACATTGGAACTTCCTTGATCGACATTCTCTAATTGTGCACTTTGTTCTGCAGAGGGTAAAAAATTAAAACTGTCGTCTATTTCCATTTTTATTTCAGTCTTTATCGTAACACTGTCAGTAATACTTTTGTTACATTCCTTCTTGGACTTCGATTTATCCTTATCGGTATTCTTTCTCTTTCTCTTTCGACTCTTTTTACGATTATAACCATCATCAAATACAGAAGCCTCATCTACATCTACAAAAGATTATTCATTAAATTAAATAAGAAAGAATTTATTAGTCGATATTTTATCCAAATATAATATAACCTCAAAATATAATCAAAGACCTCAATTCGCAAGTAATAATAATTAAGATGGATATTTTACCCATTTCTCCTGCTTTCAACCATATATCTTCTAAAACTTCCAACTGTTGTTCATCCGGTTGGTCATCTACTTCTTCCAGTTCTAAATCTTGTAACACTTTCTTAACATCTGGTGGAATATCGGAACGATTTACCAACTCTTCCATATCAACATCTGAGTTTGTTGCCATTAAATTCTTTTTTTTATGTATAGTATGTCGTTTATTTTTCGGAGCGGCATTCAAGTAACTTTGTGGCAACTGTCCGTTGCTACTATTGCTACATAAAAGATCCATTTGAGAAGGCATAGGCGCGGCTGTCTGCTTAGGATCTTCAGGATGTGGACCAATATCTTCTCCACGTAACCATAATTCATATCTATAATAATGTCACAATAATTGATTGCTCTTAATGATAATAAAACCCATTGATCTTGACTAATATACCTTCTGCAAGAACTTGTTCCTACCTTTCTGGTTGAAAACGTTTTACAAAAGTGTCCATAGATATCTTAACCATATCTTTACTGCAGGTACATTGTGTAGCCCTTTTACCATACTCTACCCATCGTGGGGCAGCGAAGTTCGTGGATTCGGCACAGTTGAATCCATGATTGAAACCAGCATGGTATCCGTAAGGGAAAGTGATCATAATTTCTCCAGCTTCTTGTGTTATCTAAAGCATAAAACATATTAATTATAATTCTCATTACTATTCTATGAATTATTCTAAATAGTCTTAACAAATAATTAATACTTACTTTATTGCACGGAATAGAATATTGCCTCAACACTTGGGGAGAAATAAGAGACATTTTATGACGTAAAAAAGCCTGACAGCTTTGATAACTTGATGGAAAGAAACCACTAGCTAGCCTTTCTAATCGTCTACCATGTTCTGGTGGTATAGCATACCATGTTTTTGGAGCCCCAAAATGTAAATAATTTATAGAATATAAATCCATATCTTCTGTATGCCATGCAAACGTCGTTTTCCACATTCCGAAATATAAATATGCTGTGTTAACACCATCAATAGATATACCATAATCTTTGTTGACATAATCAAGTATTGTTCCCAAATGATTAATATTCCATTCTTTCACATCTGGGTCAGTCAAGGAACCAGATACATCTGCCCCATATATAGGTGCCACATATGTTATATTCTTCCAGTATTTTCTCTCCAAGTCTTCATAATCAAAGTGGCGTGGAGTATTATATCGTTCACAATTAGCCATTTTGCTATATTCCTTGACAGTCATTGATTTTTTTTGTATATTAATTTGTTGGTAAAGGCCTTGTTTACCAGTTACCACCTGACAAATCGGCGCAGGAATTGTGAGATCTAAGTTATCTAAGTCGTAACCTTTCTTCCTTGGGATCCATTCAGGTGGAGGAATCACTTTTGCTAAGCCGGCCTTATGAGCTCCTTTGCTTTCCATGTACTCTACATACTTGGTAAAATCTTTAAATTCTTCATACGTTGGTCTGAAAACCTGGATACGGGGAGTACCCCGTGAAATGTTGCTAACCATTTTTTTCTCAATTTACATACCTAAAACAGAAGACAAACATAATTTCTAGAAATAGTCGAAAACTTTATTCACTTAAAATTTATTGATATTAAATATTAAAATGAAATATATTACGATTCGTAATCAAGATTATAAAGACTATAAGTAAAAATACTAGAAGTTACAGTAAAAAAAACTATAAGTTACAAGACTATAAGTAAAAAATATGACGTAATGTTTAAAATAATTTTTACACGAATGAGATAATAAACATAAATAAAGCTATAAAAATTATACATAAACAAAATCAAAACATAGATTGAAATCGTTTCGATCGTTTAATAGTAGAAAACATTTAAAGCAACTAACTCTGAACACGATTGCATTCAAAATATGAATCTATTTCGTTCCCCGATGTTTTCGTAAATAACAACATTCAAAAACGAGAGAATGAGACTAAAGTGCAATGTTTTTGGGACGAGATATGCCGAAGATGCATAAACAAAATGGATGGTATCTATTGTCAAGAAATTCTTCTTAAAATAAACTTCGTTATGACTCTCGATTATCTTTCACCAAATAAACTGACATATACTAAGGATCAGAGAAATCGTTACTGGTGACTTATATCATATGTTTGATTCTGAAAAAGGGATTTTCACCGTAGCGAGGGCAGTTCACAAAATCTCGTGTTCGCTGATATATCGGCCGACACAAATCATGTTTTGAAGTTGTATGATCTTTTTACGTCGTCGTTAAAGACGACGCACTACTTACATCGAGTTTAAACGTTAAAAATCATCTTTCTTGTATAAACACCATCTTTATAAAATGTTATAATAGATTTCACGATTTGACACATCTACCCCGCGCGTCTCCTAAGACTAATAAAGATGGCGATCGTCACCATCGCTTGAGACGCTAGAGCAATAGCGCATGCGTGCCGGGCGGGAAATTTGAATTTTTGCATTTTGTCACGTACGTGAAATTTTATCAAAGTTATCACAGAAAATTCACATTAAACGCATATAAAAAGATATATTTACGCTTATCATAAATGTTTTTACTTACCTATGTAAATAATAGGATTCTAAATATTCTGAATAAATAAATTTATTGAACTACATGGTTATTAAAACGAAGTATCTTAATAATATTGATCTAATAACATTTCTAATCGTGCAGGAAGGAAAAGAATAATTCGCAGTGTATGTAACATTTATCAAGTGTTTAAAGTTACGAGTATGACACATATTTACAACAAGAATTATAGTTACATTTGATATGTTTGTATATGTACATAGTACTTCGATATATAAATTTGAAAATCTTTATTAATACAATTTGCAATTTGAATGGGACAACAAAAGCTAGGGTTCTCAAACGGACAACTCAACTTCAAAAGTTGATAAATTATTCCTCTTAATTAGTTTTTTTTACAAAGTGTAATTAGTTTAGTGTAATTAGTTTCATTTTGGGCATGATGGCGTCATCTGTCGGTAAGTTAGTAGTTCTAATTAATTTTAAAAATTCGTATTTATGCATTTTATGGTTTTGAAAAAGATATAGAAAGAAAGCTGAGCATCGAATTAAAAAGATCCAATTATAAAAGTTTATAATTCAAATCCATAAATTAGCTTTTTTCGCAAATGAAAACTCGCTTCCATTACGGAGTCAGAAACACTAGCGCCACGTTGTGGCAAAATGAAGAAACACTTTATATCTAAATTAAAAATAATTAATTTTAATTTTTCGCGCCAATAATTCGTCTTGTGTACGCACAAGTTTCAAAGATTACTATCGCTGACATTCATAAACAAATTTGATTCTAATATCCAATGTAGTTTGCAAAGAATTGGAAACTATTTGAAAAAGAATTTCGATCTATTATTGACTAAAAAATTGTAAAAAAATATTACGAAAAAAATTAAAAAAGAAACTATGAAAAAATGGAGTAATCAATAAATAAGTCAGGAATTGTCAATCCGAAGGTTGATAATGAAAGTAAAGTTCACATTCTCCCATCATTCTTATGTGTGCCAGAGACACAAACGAGATATGTGAAAACGCTGCTGCGACACATTATCTCGTTGCTCTGTGACATTTGCAACACCTCATCTGTGTCTGTGCATGTTTGTGCAACACTCTCGCTCTGTTCCAGATTGGTATCCCAAATACTCTAATGGAATTCCACTTAACAAAATGTAATATCTTGTTAATAATCTTAATTAATAATCTTTAGCAATCATTAATTTTTCCTTTCAATCCATCTCTTTAAATTACTTACTTATTTGTTAATGGTTTCCGAGATTGTCGATAAATTCATGATTTGATAGATTTGCTAAATGTAGTTAGAGTTACATCATTTTCCGATTATAAATGGATCATCGCCAAGTCGAACTGTCTGTTTTTGTTATTGTTTTCTTCGGATCATATGATTTTTGACGTTAGAAGCTAGCTACAAACATGCACGTACGTACACACGTATATATACATAATCGTCATTTCGAACATGGCCGCGGTGGAGTGTGAATCGAAAGACGATACCTCGACCGAATTATCGGAAACGCCGGTGTTTTCAAATGAAACGGTCAAAACGATCGAGAAACATGAAACGTCGGGAATACCATTGCAATCATCGTGGACATTTTGGTTGGACAAGTAAGAAAAACGAGTTCACTCTTAACTTTGTACAAAGTTACGAATTCAATGTACAGTATATTATTGCGATGCTTGCAATTTCTATTTGATTTGTCATCTTTGTAAGATATCACAAGAAGGTGTATACGACCAATATTTCTCTCTTTTCTTTTTTTTTTCCTTAAATATAAAATTATTACGGATAACGAAAAGCTATGAAAGGAAACAATGTAACGATGCAAGATAGTGTGTCGCTATCACTTCATTTTTATTTATAACCTATATTGTTATACGTCGATCCACGTATGATTTTTTTGATAAAATTGCAACCTAATATTATTTTGTATTTAATCAGCAGTAGTTGCATTTCACGCTAGCGTTTAAAAAAGCTTCGATTGAAAAAAAGAATGTTTCATGATCGTAAATAAGTTTGATTAGAAAAATGAGATTGTTTGCACAATTAGGTACAATATACGTAATACGATATGTATATATACTCATGATTTAATTTCCTATATTTTTCTCCTTCACTTTAAACGTTTTTTTTAACCAGTATTTCCTTTTTTTTTCATCCTTTTGTTATGTTACAAAAAGAGATGTAACAAGAGACACAATTCTGAAAAAATTGAATCATTGTTTGCTCATAGTGTATATAGAAAGTTCTAAAGAGTTGGTAAAATTAACAGAGCTATTTCTGGCATAACTGTTGAAGAATATAAAGAAAATTTAACGAAGATTTATACTGTAAACACTGTACAAAGCTTTTGGGCTGTTTTCAACAATATACCAAGTGCTAGCGCTGTACAAGTAAGTATGTTTTATAATATATTATTTAGCATTAAATTGATCAGTAAACGAATAAATTCTTGTTTTGTTTTTGCAATAGGTTAGATATAGTTATCATTTGATGAGAGATGAAAGATATCCCTTATGGGAAGAGCCTGTCAATCAAAATGGTGGAACATGGAGATTAAAGTGCCATAAATCTGATACTGTAGGTATTAGAATTGTCATGTTAATGATATTAATAATATTAATGATATAATTTTAATAATTTCAGGAGAAGATATGGAAAGAAATGGTACTTGCAGCTATCGGAGAACAATTTGCTGAATGCGTTGCAGAAGCTGATGAAATTTGTGGAATAACTGTATCTATTAGGGATAGAGAAGATCTTGTCCAAGTAATAAAAACAGTGTTTAAAAACAATACGAAAACTTTACATTACAAACTAATTAAGTTATAAGTATAAACTGTGTTACAATATCTTTCTTCATTCTTTCACAGATATGGAATACAAATGCTAGTTTAGCATCAAAGGCAACAGTTTTAGAAAAAGTTCATTCTCTTTTGCCAAATATAAATTTTTCTGAATTTTATAAACGTAAGTTTATTAGAATTATATCTTTGTCTATCTCTGTTTCTTATTCTGGAATAATGTAGTTTTTATTTTATTTACAGCGCATCAGTCACATCATGCTTATGGGCGCCATTAAAGAAGTATTAGTGTTATTAAACTGTTTGATAATTGTTTAATAAAACTGAATTACTAAAATAAAGATGCAAATTGTAATTAATTGTATGACAAAAAGTTTCTATATATTTATAATGTAAAAAAGTTATTAATTTGTTGATACTGAATTGTTTATTAATGTTAGATAAGCATGTAAATCTTTTGTAAGCATATAAATATCGCTGAGATATTTGTAATATTAAACCGTCAAATATATTTTTATACTTAGAAATATGTCTCTGTCTATTTTACATTTACATAATAATACAAATAATTTGCTCTATCTATTGAGCATTCTTTTCAGCTGTTCTTATAGAATGTTTAATAGAATTTTAATTTTATTACATACTCTATAGTAAATTTCTTAGCGATTTATTCAATTCATCGGTTAAAATATAAATAAAGTAATTTTAAGTACATCGTAAAAAATATTAAATGAATAATAATTAAACTATACTTTTAAATAATAAAAACAATGCTGCATTTATAGCATTCCAATAGAGAAGGTATGCAAGACATTTTTGTATCCCGCCATACCGACAAAAAAAAAGGCAGTATAGCGACAAGAAATTTCTTTCATGTAATTTTGAAACCGGACATTTGAATCTCTCATTATACGTCTATAAACACGATTCATTGCCCGGCAAAACGGCGCCAGTTTAACTTTTTACGGCTTTTCAATATTCCTCGTATTGACGTCAGTAAATGAATATCTCAAAAATGAAGAAGTTTATTCGTACCGAAAACACCATTAAACTAGTTTTAAATTGCATTTAAATTATGCCCTACGCGGAGATGTTTCACCGTTTACATCACTATATATTCTCCAATCTCTGAAAAAATATGCGAATCAATTGTGTACGCCCTTGTATTTTCAGTCAAAAAGTTCTTTCATTTTCTTTCAAAATAGACAGCGATTTTTTACTTTACTTTTAAATTTAATTATTAAACTAATATGATTCTCAAATTTTTAATATTAATTATGTAATATAGTTCTCAAATTGTTTAATTTTCAAATTTAATTTTTAAACTAAATACCAATACTTTATGACACAATACTTTTTTAAGCTTTTGCAATAATTTCTTACATTAATTCATTAAAAGTGCAATAATGCTCATTTAGTTAGTAATGCTCATATAGCCAAGATGAATAACGTTACGTTAATGATGTGAGTTGAAAGGAAAGAATAAAAATCATTGAACACATATTTGCAACATAAATCATCATGTGCAAAATGTAAATTCCATGAAATATTCTCTTGCACATTTTACCTTTCTAAATTAAAGATGTGACTAAAATAATTATATTATTTTTATTCGATACTTCTTATTCAACTAAAATGTTATTTAGCACTGATCAGTATAATCTCAGAGTCAAACGAATAGTTGGAATTTCCTGAATTCAGAATAACACTTAGATGATATATACGAAAATACACGTTCTTTATCGTACATAGATGATATATACTCTTCATAAGATTTGCGTAGATTTCTACACAGGACCGGACATACTGTTACATGCCTTTGGAATTCAAAACTTGTGAAATTTATTGCACTCATGCGAAATCGTTCGATGGACATTTATATTATAAGAGAATCAATTATTTTGTAAAATGATAGAGAAGAGAAATTTGTTTTACACGAAATTCCCAATCAATGCTGATTAACTTGTATATTGCATTAAAGCATTTCATTTGCAATATTTTTTCGATTAATCATTAAATTCCATTCTTTTCGATGGAATGTGATTACGAAGGGGAATTTCGAGAATTTAATTAAAACTTTTGCGTCATGATTTCCTCTTTCACCTGAATCCTAGAATTTTGTAAAGTTTCAGGAAATTCCCACGGTAATCTATTTTCGTTTCTTAATCATAAAAACTTCTCTCGCATTTCTGACGTACATAGTATCTATTATTACGATATGTTTTTTTGAGAAATAATATAGTATAAATTATTCTACCTGTTTCTTAATTTGAAACAGAAAATTTTACATGTTATTTCATCCAATCTAATCTTTAATCTTCCTAAAATTAATTAATAAATATCGTTTCTTTCATTCAAATATAAATATGAAATGAAAATCGCGTTAAGAATATTTCTTTATATCAATTCATTACCACAAAATCGCTGATTATTTGTTCTAATCAATCGATAATAAATTATCATTCGCAGAACGATGAAGAATTAATACAGCTACTTTAGAAACAGTTACACTAACTTTAATTTAATAAATTATTGTCTACGTATCAGTATAAGTTATTTACTACATAAAAAATATATTAGTCAATTTAAATAGGGGGAAAAAATAAATTTTTCCCATATATAAAATAAGAATAAATGAATTGTTTCTGTGTGCGTATATATACATACTAATTTTATTTCATGATAATTTATTGATCGGGTATCTACGACTGTCTTTAGAGAAGGAATCCTTATAAAAAAAAAAAAATGTAATTGTATTCCAATGATGAGCTTGCAGATTTCAATATGATAAATTTAACTCGTTTTCCAATAAATCGCCGTATCAAAAAGACGTGGCAACCCTCTGGAATTTTTAGCTACGAAGCTTCGATACTCATTAATCAATCTTAACATTGTTTCGTAGGTAGTAGGTCTGCATTCCTCAGAGGCGCCACATTCTCACGTCACTCTGCGCGCCGAAAAATTTATGCATAATCATTTTAACTCGCTAACACCGTTACCGGCAACAAATCGTAACTCATTTAACATTCTTCGGCTTCTTTTTAATATACTGCGCTATTGAATCGTTGCATAGTCTGTCTTTTTCTTTGTGAATTAATATTGTTTTTATACAGTTGTAAAACGCAGCAAATATTTTCGGGGCGCCACATTATTAACTCGTGATGCTACGTCAGTCAAAATATCAGTGTTTGTAATTCTCTTCTTCCTTTTTATCGAATATTTTTCACAGCATCATTTTGTTGCATTATTTATTGAAATCCTGTTTATTTAATAATTATTATAAATGCAATTTTAGATCATTTTGAAGTCTTACGGAGGATTTTTTTCTTTTTTCTTTTATATGGAAAATCAAGTAAAATATACATTTTCATGACCAATTTAATTTAATTTCCAATTTAATTTAATTTTTAAATGGGAAATAAAACCAATTTAATTTAATTTTTAAATGGGAAATAAAAGGCTAAAAGCACTTATTAAATGAATGATGAGTAAAACGGCTCATGAATCAAGAAAAATGGTTCTCAGATCCAAATTGCCTGCAAAAAATTAAATTGTTAAAAAGAACAAAATTTTTATTTTAAGTACCTACATGCTAAAATGTGAATTGAAATTCCCTTGTCTTCTCGTTAATGTGTTACATACAAGTTCTAAATTTATATATATTGGACCTTTGTCTTCAACATTTGTATTTCATATATTTTATATATTCTTCATGCAGAAAGATATAACCTCACATAGGAAAGCATCATTGATAAGAATATAGATTAATTAAAAATCGATCAAAATTTATCACGAGTAATCTTTTATGATGAAAGTCGCAATCTATGGACAAGTAACCAGGCCAGATCGTATACCTGCAATCGATTAACTTGAAAAGTAGAACAACTCGTTCGGTCAATGAATCGCCATATACGATTTTTGTAAGGTCATTCGATTCCAAGCAAATTATTTGTCCTAGTAGTCTCAATCACTTGCTGCTTCAACGACTGATGATACATTACAATTGCTTTCACGATGTGATTTTCAACCATAGAAATAATACGCAAATTCAAAATACATGAAGTAACTTTTTTAGTTAACTTTTATCTGTTTACGAGCTTACTCCTTTTCAAAATCATAGTGCTATAAGTTAAGATTTCAATTCAATCATACATATCATTAAACGAACGTTTAAATGCATTAATTCTCTAGTTTCATATTTAATTGAAGTATAATTTTATTCTCTACCACACTTGTAGCTATAATCAACATTTTATAATAATAAATGTAGAGTACTGTTTTATGAAAATTAAGTAGTTGAATGACTTACGCTATTACGATCAAGCCTTGATTCATAATGAACAATTTGAGAATCCCTGATGTGGATCTATTCTTGTAGGATCCGAATGACATAATAGTCGGATGACTGCATGCTGACTGTTAAATGTGCAGCGAACCTACGAGATAGTCGAGATTACCTGGAACGACGCCGGTGTGGTAACGAGCCACACATTCGCATTGTCGGCATTTAGCTGCACGAATAATACAAGGTTTCTCATTTCCCAACGTGCACCTGCACCAACGTAAATTCATGTATGAAACATGTTTTTATAAAAATTCGAAAGAAGGCAATTCTAAGGGCTTGATTTATCTGTTATCTGTATGTATATTAAAGTAGCTAGAAGAACTGGATGAGCAAGATTGGATCCTTTTAAAGCAGTGAGCATTTTCAGATAAAGTCGTTTTCAATTGATTTCCTCTGTGCTTACAGATTTTCATTTTGAAAGTTAATTTCAAAAATTTTCATAATTCATTGCATCAAATAGATGCAACAAAATGATTGTATATAATAGATTGTACATGTAATTTGAATTGAAAATTTTGATTCATAGAAAGAAGAAAAAATATTTTTTGCCACATGAAAGTTTCTATTAATTAGGTGACATCCTGGAAAGAAGTAACATACATACTATGGAACAGTGGACTCTTGAAAGTAGGAGTGGGGGACCTGGTATTCCATGGACGTCACTGGTATACAGAACATATAATCAGGGACTGAAGGAAATTCACCCAGTTTGTAAAGACCATTCGTGTGAGAGAGTCGTTTCATCGTTCGTCTTCGTTCGAATTCACGTGAACTTTATCCAACATAGTTTTTTTTTGTTTTTAATACTTGATTGATTAATGAATAATTCTTAACCTTAAGACTCGTTTCCATATCATTTGTACATACATTCTGAGTCATAAAACTAATGTTTCTGTCAAAAGTCTTCATTGCACGAGTTTTTCGTATACGTATATCATAGATCGAATTCTCCAGATTAACAATACGTAATAAAAGGTGTGTTTGTGACAGCTATTAAAATTAAAAGTGAAACGGCCAGTATGAAGATCTTAAGAATTGCTACGCTGTTCACTGTCGTTCTGGGATGCTGTGCCTTCAGTGTTACTGCGTCCGCAATCCCTATGTGGGAATTCCTCTCCAGGGGTGAGAAAGTAAGAAATGCTTCCACGTTCCGTTGTAAACTAATTATATGCTATACCGTAATATTTTTCTAAAAAAAGAAAAATTTGAAAAAACTATACGCAAATAAAACTGTTATTATAGGCATTTAATAGGCATTGTAAAACAAACATTACTTTTATATATATTATATATTTATATATATAAACTTGGAGTTATATTACCTAACCTTCCATTAATAAACTTGTTTATGTACGCCTCAAGATTTTTTTTTTAATAAAGTAGACTTTATACCACAATCGTCTGCACGTAATATCAACAAAAGCAGACTTTCACCGAACATAATCAGCTGCATTCGCTGAAAATGCTCTTGTGCAGTCCGGTCGAGTGTAATTGCGCGAGCGCAATTTGGACGTTGACTTTTCTCATGACATTGTGTCCTTCTTATAACACTACTTTTTCTGGAAATAATCTCAGAGGCAACAGTTTACGATCAAGGAGTTTTGTCATCCGTTGATAATCGCCTTAACAGTAGACTTAATTGATCAATTTTTCCAATACTCTTCTCTGTAGAATTGTTTTTTTTTTATTAACCTTATAACAGAATGTCCTTTTGTTAATCTTATGGTAAGTGTCTAGACTATATGTTTAAATATTTGGAATTCAAGTTAGCTAATCGTGATTATTAATATCTTATCTATTAATATATTTTAGTTCATCTTTTAACAGATGAATGATTAAATATAAAACAGCATGATTAGTCATTATTGTGAGTATGTAATGATTTTTATGTGTCTCTTACAGTCATGAAATAAGATATTATCAGTAGAGAAAGAATGCTGCAATCAAATAAAGCGGTTAGAGAGGAAGACACTAATCCGTTACATTGTTTTTCCATCGCAGTATACACAGTTCATTAAACTCGGTTACTATTATTATTCACTTTATTACATTTTTTATTTGTATATTAATTATTGAATATCACTAATATCATGATTAAATATTAATTACACATTAGAATATTATGCTGCATTGAGGAGTTTGAAATTAACTGCCCATGTTAATTAATAAATAGCTTCTAAACTAGTTAATTTCAGATTCCACAATGCAAAGAAATATCTCAATGTATACGTAACGTTAATATTTAATAACAATTGACGTTAGAAGTCCTGTTAAAATTAGAATTATTATACTTTGTTCTTAATTTTACAATCCATCTATACACGTGAGGAAAGAAAGAGTATGCACTGCGTCCGTAATATGTTGGTAATACGTATGTTGGTAAAAGTGATTGAAAGTAAGTTGAAGTTCAAGAACGTACTCTCTATTTGTGATTGAATTGAACTTGTAACTTATCGAGTCTCGAATCGATTTAAAATATTTCAAAATCCAACGTTTAAAAATTTTGAAAATTTTCCTAAAATCGTGTTTGTATAATGAGATTATTTTGCATTTGCTCTTCTATTTGCGATGATCATTTACCGAACAATTCTGTGTCCGTTTACACAGACTTTCTCTTATATCCGGAAACTTTTAGAAGATAATACAATGATCCACCATCGATCACGTTGTAGATCTATGTAGGTCACCATCGGAATACATGTACATATGTACGAGTGAGTGCAACTTGCCGAGATTGAAATTCATCACATTCGTACGTTTCTTTGTTAATATGTCGCGAATAAATAAACAACAACTTCATGCTATTGGAAAAATAAACTGTTGTTATAAAAATATTCGCACAAATGTTAATTGAGAATCATTTTATTTGCAGAATCTGCCGTAAACAAAAGATGCAAGATAAAAATTCCAAAGTATAATAGAAATTACGAAAAGTGATTCTCTGTAAAAGCAAGAATTTCCGAATTATAGAAATGAATGTTTCGTTGTGCAAACAGACTTACCAAATGTCATTATATTAAATTTTGTAGGTGTATAAAAGGCAGGTTACAGAAATGTCATTAGAAATTCTAAGATTGAATATTCGCGTAATCGCTTGGACGTAGATGGAGCCAAAAGTATGTGGACATCGGTCATTGTGTTTTACATAGACAAACGGGGGCATGTTTCGCGCGGCGGACAGAATTTCTTGTGACGAAAAAGAAGAAAAGACGGTGTATCGCAATCAAAACCCGATACGTGATATACGACACAGGCTGCGACACGCATATATATTTGTTATAACTGTAGTGTTCGATATCCTGTATGTTACACATTGTCGAGTTTCACCGGACGCACGTAGAATGCGTTTGTCCTCACGGAATGAAAAACAGCTTTCGCGATGAACAACAATTTACGTAGAGAGAAACACGTTCATTTTTTATATATAAATCGATTTTAAAAATTTCATTGAAGAATAAGATATTGAAAATCAATCTCGCAAAGATACAATATTTAATTGTTAGTTATGCAAATATATGTCTTAAAAATTGGACTTAACAGTAATGGCGGAAAATGTTTGAAATTTGTATTGAACGAGATGTCTTGAATTATTGATTCAAGAATCAGTTGTCTTTTGCCACACAATATTTATTTGTTCAATAATAATATATATATTATATATTATATATTATATTATATTGGATGTATGTAGGTATTCAATAATAATATATTATATTGGGTGTATATAATATATTATATTGGAGGTATACAGGATGTCCCATTTTAACTTTATAAAATCCATTATATGAGAGACCAGGAAGAACAAGGGCAATATCCTTACATTTATACTGTTAATTTTTCAACACAGATAAGTTAAAACCTTTTCATAGGGAATGGTCTATCGCATCGATTGACAAAAAAAAAATTACATAGTTCTGTTTAAAGAAATGGTATTGATCTTCATATTTCCTTTACGCGTCCACCTAGAAACAAATTGACTGTATTAAATCACTTAATATATAGTAGATTAAAATGTATAATATTGAAAGAGATTTTTCTGAAGATTCGTAATATTTCAGGCAAGCTATTTGTTAAGAGTGTTCAGCATGCAAGTGGCCAAATATTGTGCAGACTCATCGATGCCGGATTGCAATAAAAATTTATTGGTTACTGGGATGCGGAACTTGGCTAACATGGACAATAATGTTCTTGATAGATTGGATCCGTATCAACGTAACGCGAAAGAACTTAGTAAAATTTCCAATTTCATTATAAATTGAACATAACAGTTGAAATTAATTTTTATTTTCGTTAACTTATTGCTTCTTACTTATAGTTTGGCGGGCCATGATAAAAAATGCATATTCCCCAAGATTCACTCCCAAACTGGATGAATTTTACTTCTCTGTCAGAACGGATTCATTGGGTACGTATTCACAAATGAAACTGCATATATTTAGAAGACTATGGAATAGGGGGAACACTCTAGGATTGTTTTCTCGATCCCTGTTAATTTTCCAATCACCTTATGAAGTTTGTTAATGCAAGTGAAAGTCCTAATTGACAAGAAAGAAGAAAGGAACGAGAGAAACTTATACTTGAACAAGTATTTTCGTAGAGCTACATACATATTAGTATGAGAGAAGTGTTAACCGTGAAAATTAAAGTTGCATGACAGTTGTTAACATTAATAACAAGAAAGGTAAATGTTGAAAGGGATTATTATCTACACGAAATGAACGAAAACAAATACTGCTGCGAGAAAGTTGCAAATACATTCGTCTCTATCGCGCACGTCCCACTAGAAAGTCTTTTTTCGCCCGAACGAGATCGCGTTTGATAGCAGAATGCTTGTTCTCAATTGGATCAACTTTTTTAACTGCACTTTCACCCGATCATCTGAACGAGTCAACCGAAGTTCAGGGAGAGTTTTTGGATGCTACGAAAAATGTTACAGTGATATGTTCTATGGATTTCTCTTACTAAATCTCGGAGAAGATAAAAGAAAATTAGAAGAGTTATTAGTCGCTTCTTCTGATAATTTATTCTCATTGATTTCATCAGTCTTCTTCTTAATATTAATATTTCAATTGATGATTATGCTTTTACTCTGATTATGCCATTAGCTACAGGATATGTACATTCATGATAAATTTTTAAATTATTCTTATGAACAAAATATGCAAAATATTCTTCCAAGTCTTATTTAAATGAGTTAAATATGACATTTCTGATAACTTGACGGAAGTAGGAAGTAGTATCACAAGACATTGACATAAAAATATTAGACATCGAATTATCATAATGCGAGGGTCACATATAGGCAAAAAAAGAAATGACTTTGAATCGTGTATATTGTATACATTAGTAAAATGCATTTAAAAATCGATAATTTTAAAAATATTTATAATCAATGATAATTCTTCTTTATTATCATAAAATGTAATATAAAATTTGATTTTAATTTTAGATTTTTTCATAACTACTTAATTGTATGATTATATTATATTGATATTCATAATGATATTCACTTATTAACATAAATAACACGAATATGCATCACTTGATCCTTAAGAGTTCGAATAATAAGTCAGCTATTTAATATTAATTTTCATTTATTTAAATTATTAATCGATTCAGAGTTAAAATATTTTTAAGCAATTTTTAAATAAATTGAACAATTAATTCTTCAATCTAACTATTTAGACAATGTCCTCTTTTCGTGTTTGATCTTCAAGAAATAGTATTACTTTTAAGGGTATATTATGGATTGATAAGGATCTAAGAACAATAGATTGTTATGAGTCTCTTCCTTTATAACAATCTCTCTCGCATAATCCAAAGTGTAGAAGAACAACAAAGAAAAATTTGGAAATATAATCGCACGAAAATATGTAACCAATCTTGTTTAAGCAATTCAAGAATCTTGATTTGCATCATAGAGACGAAAATAAATTATTTTAAACAATTTTCCTATTCCAAATATGTTGTTCAATCTTATTTCTTTAATAGAATTATTTTTAGACTTCAATAGCATTATCCTTTAATTTTGAATTCTAATTTATTATTATTCTTATTTTTCAGCTATCGGCGATAGCGATATAAATGGAATAGCAGAAGAAACAATGGCAACAAACAATTATATTCGACCATCCTCAGAGCACACTGGCGGCCCTTATCTAGTTGGACCAATGGTAATTCGAGTGTATCCGGATGGTCGACCAGTTCCAGAAGATTCGACACGCTCCCTACCTCGAGACGAAGATGCGGAAGAATTCAGGCACTCCCGAATACCCTCAGTCGAAGAAATTGAAACTGACAGTGAATTCTATGAGAAACGATTGAAAGGAAACTCGTTCACAAAGACCAATAGTCATCGACGGTCTCAAGAAGAATCTGCTCATTTCCGAAACAATTATCCACCATTTAAAAGACGATTATCTGAAGAAATGAATGCAAAGCGTAAGATACAGTATCATTGAAAGGGAAATGTTTCAATTAGCGTTAAAGAGTTGAAAAATCTCATTATAGAATAGGTAACTATGAAATTTGTTGAATGTTGAAGTTAAAAATAATGACAAAATAGAAAAATATGTTTCTGTTTCTAAAAAAGAGTCGAAAACTATCGAAAAGTATAGGAAGATAGTCGTAGATATATAGGTAATAATGAAATTTACTTGATAAATGACATGTTGAAAGTCTTAAAGTGGTATGGAGAGTAATGTCTTTAATAGGTATAATGAAAATATTTTATAAGGGTTCAGATCAGTTTGTATATCTTTTTATACTCAAAGTTATTGTGGTTATTTTTTTGTAGTTGTGAAAAACTGGTCTTTCATAAAATAAGTAACTAAGAATTGTTTAACCTAGATAATAATTTGATGATTAATTCTTGACACAAGAGTTAATATTTCAAACGTTAGCCATTTTGAACAATTTATTGAACGTAAGGCAATGAGTGAAGAGTGATATTTCTCGACAGTTTCATCCGTACATTGTTAGATAATAATTTCGTAAAGTTTAATGGCGATAAGTTTGAAAAGACTGCTTTTGATAATGGTATTCATATGTTTCGTACAATCATATGTTTTTTCAAAAACATTTAATAGAGGTTACATTTAATATTAGGAAGTTAAGTTGACGATTGGTCGACGGTCAAATTGTTTATAGTTTTCGATCTTAAATAAGTATTTTAGTAAGTTCTTCGAATCATTAAATATACTCACCATTTTTTAAAATATTTCTGTACACGTAAATGATGTCGACCATGAATATTTTTGATTGCGCAGTATTTCCCATTAATTTATTATTTATTTTGTTATCCGTGAAAGTATCATTTATCTTTACATTGATTTCATTTGTGTATAATTTCGCTCATATCTACACTATGATTCAAATAAGCATGAAAATAGGCAAGTCCTTTTTGTTACATGAGATTTTTTCAAATCTCAATTAGATTCTCAATTATTCTGTTCGCTTTTAAGATACAAGTTACGGCACAAGGGAACTTACCTCGCTGAAAATTTGTTATTTTTCATGCTGAGTGAATATATACGTACAAAAACTCATATATAACGTAATATTAGCGGAATATATTCTCACTTCTACAATAATACCTGCATTTGGATATTTTATTCGTTGAAATAAAATATTTATTACAAAATCATGCAGCGAAGTTCGAGAACGTATTCGAAGCACGTAATTTGAATTTTCATGTTGTAAAAATTTCTAAGTACGTAATATGTGGTGTTGTAACAATTTCGATATTCGTATTTGCACAATGATATTAGAATTTTTTTTTTTTAGTATAATGTGTCCACATTTTATACGAACACGTAATAATGTAGATTTTATATAAAACTTCATAAGTATCTACGAAATTTGGTATTAAGTTAAAGGTTGAATTGTGCGCGCACGTTTGTGTGTGTGTTGTGTGAAAGAGAAATAGTTGATCATTGCAAATGTTTTTAAGCGTATATAAATGATTTAAAATAAAATGTGATATTTAACTGAAGAAGAGTCCACTTCCTTCGACAATGTTCTGAAATCTGCAATCTCCTATTTTTTTGAGATAAACGACTAATTGTAAGTTAAATTTAATTAAGTTCAATTTGATTCAGATTTTTAATCTCTTTAATTTCCCACTTTCACCCTATTAATGAGAACGAACATTTCTAACAGCAGAAATTTAATATTTATTTTTATTAATATGGAAACGAAGCTTTACTGTCTTTAACTACACAGTTACTTAACCATCTTGCTACGGTATAATCAATGCTTCGGCTAAATAAGGCAAGGGCGGAACAAGCATTTCGGTGGGAAGTGTATGGGGGGGGGAGACGGAGAAAGATACGAGGAACATTGAACTGTTCTCATTGTTCAGTTTTTTCAAGTATTATTTAAAAGAAACAAACGGGAGAAAGATGTCCTATGAAACAAGTAAGTGAGGCTCAAAAATTTCACCTGTTCTTCATGCATTCCCGACGATTTATTACCGTCTTTTTTATGTAAATATCGAGCGCACAATTTTCCGGTCTTATCTTAAGCCAAATCATAACACTTCAAATGCATTAGCAGCTGTGTAATGTCACGATTGACCACAATTAAAATAAAATTATCAATTTCTTTTGAATATGATCGCACACGCGTAATCGATCATTCATCAAATCGGATTTTTCATTTTTTATTTTTACATACAGTTCCTGCGTGTCATATCGTTTACCAGTTTGCATTTCTTAATTTTGAATATATATATATTTTTTTATTTTATCTAAATTAACGTTATTACTATCTAATCCAATTTACAACAATGTACAAAAATAAGATTACTTTGAAAAAGATGACAAACTGCACAAATTATATATGTAATAATTAAATTTTTCCAAAAAAAGAAATATAACAAGTATTAGTTTTTAAAAGAATTAAAATACGTTTTGTTATTTTAAAAATAGTTTTGAAGATTTGAGTTATTATATATGTATGTTACTTGCTTAGTTAATTAATTAAATTTCAAATTGGTTTTTTTGGAAGTATTAAGAGCAAAGAGCGATAATTCTAGAGCAAAGAGCGATAATTTTAGACCAAAATACAGTTTCTATGCTTAAAATAATTTAGAATATTGCATATTGGATTTATGCCAATAAATCAAAGAAGTATATTTTGGTTCCAGTCAAGAAGTGCATTCTATTATATAATTTTCAAATATATTACAAATTACATTTTTTACTGAATATTTCTTTATATCATTTAAATTATTTTAGATACACATATTGTTTTTATACTATGTAGAATATTCACTTTAATTTTTTATATTTACAGAATATATATTTGCTACATTACCAAGAACACAAAGAGGACAACCCCTTGTATTAGGAGGTGATCCTAAAGGAAAAAACTTTTTATATACTAATGGTAATAGTGTAATTATTAGAAATATTGATGTAAGTATTTAATTTATACATAAAATACTGAAGCATAGTATTGCTTTATATATAAAATACTGAAGCACAGTATTGCTTTGATCATTTTCTATTTTTAGAATCCAGCTATTACAGATATTTACACAGAGCATTCTTGTCCAGTTAATGTGGCAAAGTATTCTCCAAGTGGATTTTATATAGCATCAGGTGGTATGTATATCTATAGACAAACATTTATAAGAAAATATATGTAAATCCAATAAAGATTCAAAAATGTATATAATTTCTTTTATTACAGACCAATCAGGCAAGATACGTATTTGGGATACTGTTAACAAAGAACACATTTTAAAAAATGAATTTCATCCTATTGGAGGGCCTATTAAGGATATAGCATGGTCACCTGACAATCAACGTATGGTAGTTGTTGGAGAAGGAAGAGAAAGGTAAATAACCCATAATCATAGTGCGGTTTCAATTTTAATAATGGACTTATTTTTATATATGACTTTAGATTTGGTCATGTATTTATGGCAGAAACCGGTACCTCTGTAGGTGAAATCTCTGGTCAAAGTAAATCTATTAACTCATGCGACTTCAGACCTGCCAGACCATTTAGATTAATCACTGGAAGTGAAGACAATACTATTGCCGTTTTTGAAGGGCCGCCATTTAAGTTTAAGTACGTATACGAAAAATGAATTTAACTTAACATAAATGTTTAATACTAAGTTTCTATATAAGATGTCCAGATGCGAACAATGTCTTCGTAATATTTAAAAATATTTAAATATTTTTTGATATTACAGTATTATCGCTCACAAGTCTTAAATAGAAACTCCTAAATATTGATTTAAATAATAAATTTATCATATGTACAGAATGACCAAACAGGAACATACTCGATTTGTTCAAGCTGTACGTTATTCGCCTAGTGGTAATTTATTTGCATCTGCAGGATTTGATGGAAAAGTATTTATTTATGATGGTACGAGCTCTGATTTAGTTGGTGAAGTAGGGTCACCAGCTCATCAAGGCGGAGTATATGGAGTAAATAAATTGAATCATTTAAAACCAAATTCTTTTAAAAATAATGATGTACTCATTCTAAATAAATCTTTCTTAGGTGGCTTGGAAACCAGATGGAACGCAGTTATTAACTGCTTCTGGTGATAAGACATGTAAACTTTGGGACATAGAAACTCGCTCATTGATTAGTGAATTTAGTATGGGATCAACAGTCGACGATCAACAAGTATGTAACTTTAATTTCTTGTTGTAGCGAATAATCAAAAATAATTCTAAAAAAGTAAAAATAAAATCGATAACAAGATTAAGCTTTTCTTAGGTTAGTTGTTTGTGGCAAGACAAGTACTTGCTATCTGTGTCTTTGAGTGGTTTTATTAATTATCTGGATGTTGATAATCCTACGAAACCTCTTAGAATAATAAAGGTAACAACTTGAATATGTAATAAGGGTATTTTTATGGGATGAATTTTTAATTTGGAACATTTTTAGGGTCATAATAAACCAATAACAGTATTAACTTTGAGCCCAGATAGAAGTATAATTTATACTGGATCTCATGATGGATACATTACCAATTGGAATGCGAAGACGGGAGAGAACGATCGTGTTCAGGGTCATGGACATGGAAATCAAATTAATGGAATGAAAGCTGCAAAAAATTTACTTTATACCGCTGGTATCGATGATACTTTAAGATCAGTTGATATCGATACAAATACATATACAGACACGGCTATAGTTAAACTGGATTCCCAACCACGAGGTCTAGATATTTACAAAGATATAGCTGTAATTGTAACTGTTCGGCAGGTAAGATTATCACGCGACTGTATTTTAATTTAATAACTAGTTAAATTAACAATAGTTGTATGTTCTAGATAACGCTTACACAAGATGGACGAAAAGTATCAAATACACCAATCGATTATGAACCATCTTGTGTGTCAATTAATCAGGAAAATGGTGATGTAGCTGTAGGAGCTACATCGGACAATATGGTACATTTTCGTTCAATTTATTCTTATAAAAATAATTACGAGAATATGACGCAGTGATTTGTAATTGAAGTAAATGATGTGTAATTTTCAGATTCGTATATATACCTTATCAGGTACGAATTTAACTTGGAAAATGGAATTAGAACATTTAGGTACAGTTACAGATGCTGCTTACAGTCCTGATAATAAACACTTGGTAGCGTGTGACACAAATCGAAAGGTGATTCTTTATACTGTGCCAGAATATAAGGTAAGAAAAAGAAGTTCTTATTTTGTATAATTTCTAGAAACTGCATAAAATATCTTTGAAATTCATACATATCGATTGTGCAAAGTTGCAGACAAGGTGTAAGCTGCTTTTCCATTTAACTTTCGCCATTTAGTAGATAAATTCATTAATGTATCTCACGCTTTTAATGCTCCTTTAATATTTACCATTAGCAAAATATTATCACTGCTATATTGTATGTATTTATGCCAATTTTTTTTGTAACAATTGTTCCTCCTAAACGCTTGTTGGATTTTTAGAGGGTGAGTAAAGCTTATTGCTAGAAAATAATTATTCGAAGAAAATTTGCTTTGAAAATTTATTGATGAAATATAACATTTTATAGCTTGCACACAATAGAGAATGGGGTTTTCATAATGCAAGAGTGAATTCTGTAGCATGGTCTCCTAATTCGGCTATGGTCGCAAGCGGTAGCCTTGACACAACTATCATTATTTGGAGTGTAACAAATCCAGCAAAGCATACTATTATTAAAAGTAAGTATATGTAATTTCTTCTTTTTTTTTTGTAATGTTATTTTATTTCAACGTATATGATTGTGCAAAACAATTTTGTTTCAGATGCTCATCCTCAGAGCCAAATAACACGTTTAGTTTGGCTAGATGAGGAAACATTGATCTCAGTCGGGCAGGACTGTAATACTAAAATATGGCGTATAGAAAAGATTTAATTAATATTTTTTAAAAATAACATTTTTTAAAAATGTGTCTTTCCTTCTTTTTAAAAGAGCTTAATTTTTGAATGCATTTTATTTATTTCGTAGCCAATGAATGAATATTGTATATTATTTTTTAATACGATTTTCCAAATAATATTGATTAGTCTGTATTACGATCATTTACATTCGGTATATCAGAATAATCAAAAATAAGTACACAGTATATACAAATGAAATTTCAATAACATCTTTTTACATTTTTGCGCAATGTCAATTATAAACAATTTTTTATATACTATAGTTATTTTTTAACTATTTACAATGTAACGCGACGAAAGCATATCCTCTTTTCTGATTCTTCGATTTTTACTGGAAAATTGTAAAAAGCATTAATTATGAAAAAGAAAGTCAAAACGAAAAATATAACTAATGTCTACTTTGTCTTTATTACAACAGCGTAACGATAACAAGAAAACAGTAACAATTCGAAGGGTTTCGAGGAACGTGATCACGCTTTAAGTTATTTGTACATTTAAAAACAACCAAGATCTTGCTTGCCTTATTCTTAATCAGTCTAGTACTGAATATTTTTTTAAAAACGTGAGGTACATAAGTTTTTCATATTAAATTCTCCCTAATTTAATTTTATATAATAAAATATTAATCTTTCATATATATTTGCAACTTGATAGTTCAAATATTAAATCAAAAAAACAATTAAAAAGGATCATATAAGTTAGGAAATAGTCTTTATATAATTTCGTTTTAGTACATTTCATCTAACAACTCCTTTCTTTTAACTAAAATAATCGTACCGTATTTTTTGTACAAGGATTTTAATAATTTTACATTAATAATTTATTGATTCAACCTTTTTTTAAATTAAAAGTCTATTATTTAAAGATATACTCTAGTAATAAATAAGAAAAAAATCAAAAAATTTATAACTAGATTTTCAATTTTTCTTTTCTTTTTTTTAAGTTTTTTAATCAATAGAGTGTTCAATATTCAAGTCAAATTGAATAACACAAGATTTATGTTTTAAATAAAACGTATCCTAAAATGAAAGGTATGATATAAATCAAGTTATCTATAAGAAAATCAATTTCTATGATTTTGGTGTACTATATCGTGATCGTTTTTGTGATGAAGCAACTGGATGTCTGTAAGAAACATGTTTTCTAAGTGCATCTCGTGATCTTGATACATGTGAACAAGCTGTGCAGCTATACGAACTATTACTGTGTGTCTCCATGTGTACTCGCAAATTATATTGATTACTTAATTGTTTTCCACAGATAAGGCAAGTGACACTAGACTTATTGTAATTCTGAGAACTTCTACCGCCCACAGAACTTGTCAGAAACTTGAAATTTGCATCCCAAATAGGTGGAGGTTTTGTATCTTCTACCGGAGTAATTTGATCTTCTAAAATAGGTGTACCTTCATCCATTCCACTTTCCGAATATGCTTTCTCGACGTATTTGTTTGTAGAAGCATTAATGGAAGGAATACTGACTTTTTCCCTTTGATTTAATTTCGCATTAATGGAATAGTAGGGCTTAGTCTTCACGCAATATGGTAGACTTTCTTGATCATGAAAGGATTGTTCTTCCATGGTCTCAGCTGCATCTGTATCTAGAACTGTTTCTAAAGATTCTCTACTACCTATGATATTATCTTTAGTTTCTTTTTTTATCGGGGTTTCAGTCAATATCTTTTCTTGCAGTTGCACTGGTGGAGGTTGAACGTATAAACCGTTATCGTGTCTCGAATTTTTCTGTAAAAAGAAAACAAAAACAAGAAAAAAATGAATTACAAGTATGAAAAATTGAAATATTAAAATTGAATTAACACATTTCATTTATTTTTTATATAATTAAACTTCTCTGTTTTATCAAATAATCAAAGATATTTCTGTTCTACCTAGCCTCTGAAATTAAATTCTTTAGTTATACAGAAAAATTGAAACTGAATTTTTTAACTTTTTAAACGTTTTTTCAATAAGTAATTTTATTTTTTTCAATAAGTTATTATAAAAAAAATTTCATGCACCGTTTTCTTTGTTCATATTATCATTTTATTTTATTTTATCTCTTAAATTATAAAAAATAGGGCTGTTAAGTATTTTTTTACATTGATTCTAAATTTATGTTATAGCCACCCTTGACTAAAATATGAAGCATTATTGTAATGCAAAAGAAAAATACACATTGTGTAAAAAAAAAAGATTTAACTGTTCTAAAGTATCTACTAAAAGTTTTAGTCATGTAGAAAAATTCTTGGATAAAGCTATTTTAGATATACCTGTAAACTCATTCTATGGGGAAAGGTTCCATGGGATGCATCCACTTGCATTTAGTTGCAACACACACAACGATCTTGATCTCGTGGATATCGTTTATATTCATTATCGTTCCTTTGATGCACGCATGAACATAATATGTGGTAGGTAATTCCTTCGTGTGATACTTCTTGAGGAACGACAGTGAATGTATTTAAGTGACCTGAACAAAACAACACAATCAGAGGGTAATATAAAGATTAAAGAAGGGAGAAGCGAATTTAGAAATTACTTGATTTTTTTGTAATTTCATATAAAGGAAAAGGTATTTTATTAGTGTCTATGTATTTTTAATTGTTTAATGTTTATTACATATTATTATGAATAATGTTTATTATATATTAATATGAATATATTATACAAAATATGATACATAACGGGACAATTTACTATAATTAAATTAAATAAATTAAATTATAGACATCTATTGAAAAAAAATGTTTGTTTCATAAAATAATATGATCTTAAATATATAAATGAATATGAAAATCATTTTGATCATGGAATTAAAGTAACAATTACTAAAGAATTGCATTATTGGATATTCATTAAATTCAATCAACAAGTGATATTAATATTGGTATGATTATTATAAATGAGTGTAATTTGAGTGATATTATAAAAGAGTGTAATTTGTCAATATATAAATACATCTATTTGTTTTTGGGAACAGGTTATAAGGAAATTATAAGTATCAGCAAGGAGTTGCAAACGTTTAAGGCACTGAAGAAAATACATGCTTTGTTAAATATATTTTTTAGAATTCACACTGAGACAAGCTTCATTGGATAAGGAATAATGATTCATTAAATAATACTAATTATCTTATGCAATTAATCAACAACAATTAGTAAATAACATTTAAGAATCAACTGCAATTATATATAAATTAATTTAACAAAAAATTAAATTCTATTAACAATCTTAAATTTTAAGACAAAAATTCTCTATTGAATTTAAAATTAATCATACAATTTTATTGTATGTGTATAATCATGTTATTCTAAACTTTAAGAACAGTTAATAGCATAAAAAATTATATTTAGAATGCAATCATGCTACTTGATTTATGAAGCATTAATATAAGAGGTTTGGTAGAACAGTTGTAAAAGAAAAATAGAGGAAAATATAAATTTTCGAAGTTCAAAATATGCATTCAAAAAGAAAAAAAATAAATTATATATATATGTATGTGTATCAAGAAATCTTTACAATCTGATATTGACTACAATGCAAACTTACCAATTCGAAAAATTTTGTGCAACTGTTACTTTGTATCTTTACTGTATTAATTAAAAACATAGATGAATTTCCTTACCCCAGCTATATCAGCTAATCCACGAATATGCAAAGTATCTGCCATAGCCAAAAGTGCAGGTAGTTGCTCTTGATAAATATTTACTTCGCCGTTATACATAAATGTGACAAGTGCACATAAGTTTGCATATTCCATCCCTGGTAATACTATTACCGGATGTTGCAAAGAACTTAAGTCCTAAAAGTTGATTTATATGATTGTTGTTAACTGAATTTGATAAAAAAAAAAAAGAAAAAACAAAACGAAAAGAAAGAAAAGAAAGGCATATTCAACAATTTAGAAATGTATCTGATACCTTGAATAATTCTTTGAAATAGTAACTACAAGCAGAAAGGATAATCTTATGTGCGTGTATGTGTCTACCACCGGCGCTTAACGTAACATCTGTTAAATAACCACCGTCAAGCAGTTTAGGAAGAGAGCTTAACAGTGTGTTTTGAAAATTGTGCCATCGTAGACAAAATTGTTGCCCTTCCATGTTCTTATATACTGCAAATCAAAACAGCACAATCTTTTAAATTAATACCTTATATAAATATCTTCTAATCATTGCTTCTGCATTGATCGTATATACACAATTAAAAAGAAATCTGATAATCGTCGTTCGTTCAATACAATCCACGAAATCTCAAAATCTCCAAACAAAATGAATCAAAGACAAAATGAAACTTATGATATAATTATAAAATCATAAATCAAGATTGTCTCAAAATAAAATAAACATGCGCGACTATGGAAGTTACATAAAGTGGGCACGAAAATACTATATTTTTCTATATACCGCCTTCCAATAGTATATATATCTTCAAAGAAAGAAAATTACAATCAAATTAGAACGCGATGGACCAAGCTCTCAAGCACACAACGTACAGCCTCGGGAAGGTTATGTGTCTGAAGCTGTTAATAAAAGAGGAAAAAATTTGGTTGGACTTGATTTGATCTATTTGCGCCGGACGAAAGGGTAGTTGGGTTACTGCTAGTGGAGCGGTTCAAGAGACAGACAATACTATTTATTTAATCAGGCTGCAGGTTCCAGCCAAGTCTATTATTGTACTTTCAGGTATGGCTGGAGGAAAGAACAAATATCAACTCTGGCAACGTTACGTGAAACAGTTCCGTTTCTTTGTCATTAAGGAAAATCCGCTAATACGCATTCTGCAATATTACACAGATAGAATTAGAATTCTGCTAGTTCATTGCTTGTTCTTACCTCGATAAAAAAAAAGAATATGTTTGATCAGATCGTCAATGATATTCTGTACAGGACACTACACACTCTGATCTGGCAGCACTTCGCCATAATCACCAGTAACGTAGAAAAAGTGTGACAACTTATTCGACGTCGACGTACACCGTCACCTGTCGACATGCTGCCGAAACAATGATTTCAGAATCATTAAAAATCGCAGAAGAGAAAATGATTTATTTCCTTTTCTCAGCGGATGGTTTTCTCCATCTTCTTTGATATCGTTATGACTATTTATTTTCACTTCTTCTCGCTATGCTTTTTTTAAAACTTAGAAACTTAACAGAAGCTTAAACTTAGCACTGAGAAATTTAATATATATTCGATAAACTCGTGTAAAAATCACACATGTACGTAAGTTGAATCACAAAAATATAGGAGTAGTTAAAATATTCAATGTATTTTTTTGTCCTACGATTTTAGAATCCTAGGACCTTACCATTTTTGTGTCACATCCTGTCGTACCGATTTAGGCAAGTTTTACACCGCAGCACTACTAGTGATGAGAATTGAAATCAAAAAACATAACAGTGTTGCCGTTTCCTCATCGAAAATTATACTACGGAACTACTGCTACTACAAATTGTCAAGAATTTTATAACATATTTGAACATACTTTATTAAAGTTTTATACGAATTCAAAATGATATATTCTCATTGAATATTGGTCATTCTCATTCTCTTTTCAATTGCCTTCATCACAATTGTCATCGTGCAGAATAACAAATGAAAAGCGAGTTAAAAAGACAGTTTAGGATTTTCTGACAAGCAAAAGCATAGTTGTCAAATCTAAAAATTTGACATGATTGCCACATTTTTATTACTGTTTCATCGATCAATTCTATCCATGGAATGATGACTAACTTATAATTAGTCAATGGATAGAACTAATTGGCGATAAAACTACGACGGCGTAAAGTCTTGCCATCTAGTCATGCAGCCATTAAAATAATAATATAGGTAATTTAATTTTTATTTTATTTATTTATATTGTTTCATGTGGTCAGACAGGAATCAACTCCAATAAATTGTTTATTTCTTAACTCTGTATAAAAATGAACATATGACAACAATGAACAAGAATGACAAGAGTATGAAGACTTGTAATTAATAATAACTTGTAATTCCATACTTACATTTTTGTACGTAGAATATATTCATTTTAAACTATGTATATGTTCATTTTTGTATATGCATTTGGTAGAAAAATAAAACTCTGTAAATTCCTTGTCATTACTTCGCCTGAAACTGTCGAAGTTGATTGACTGAGTTTTGAATGACGCGCGTAAAATATTTTAATTTTGCGCGCCGCTATAAGCTAGAGAGTTAAGTACCTGCCCTCTACTGACGCTTACGTCAGCCAATAAGAAAGCGGCTAGAGGAGAACTGGGTGGGACATGCCATCATGTCGGAAATCGTAGCGTCAAGATACTTTCGACATGTCTAAATTTCGATAATGCGTAGCATTTATTGTCACTACCTTCTACAGACTACTATCAGGTTCGTTTAACTAATATATTATTATTTAATACATTTTTAAGCAGTAACATAATGATATTCAATAACTTTACGAACTTTCTTTGTTAAGTTCTTTACATAGGTTAACTACATAGTTAGATTTATCAGTATCACATGTTAAGAGTCTTTGAGGCAGAATCTAAGATTATTTAATGTATTATTAATGTATTTCGATATTATTGATTCTAACCTAAAATTTTCATACGTATAGATTCCTGTTTGGATGCTGACATCACTTTGAAAGAACATCTCGATGATTGCTGTGTAAATTTGGTACGTTAATGTTTGATTTATTATTTCATTCACATTATTATCTTATATCATTATATTATCTTATATTTGATCACTGACTTTACCCGAAGGTTGACATCAAGGAACGACAAGGGACCACGAAGAATGTCAAAGGGAATCGAGGGACATAGAAGGAACATCGAATGACTTCGAATGTACTGTATAAATGTATGATTTGCAACTGTATGTACAATTGTACCATTATTGTGTAACACTTGCCTAACCTAGATGAATATTTCCCAACTATTTCTAAATACGTAACAAATTTGAATTTTGATTTGTATTTTAATATGTTGCTTTGATTTACTTTTCATCACTTTTTTCTCAAAACTATTTTTGCTATTCGTTTGCACAATAATAAGAAATTGTAAACATTTTGTACAATTGTACATTGAAAGGAATTGCTTTTTTTTTGTTGAATAATTTTTTTTTAAAGTGAAAAAGGAGTAGATGGAACAAAGATGGGTTTTGATACGTAGTAACCTCAAAGTGGTGAGACCAGGGAAATCAGTATTATTTCTGATATAATTCCTAATTGCATTACTGCGATACAGTTATGAATTATATAACAATTAATATGAGCTAATTTTTATATTTTTATGTTTTATAATTAAAAAATTTGTTGAATTGTTAAGGAGATTGTTGATTTCTAAATTTATAAATTGAATTTTTTCATAACATATTGCATTTTTAAATATTAAATAGAAGACAAATAGATTTTGATGAATATTTCAAAACACATGATTTGATAAAATGCAACAAACCTATTCTGTTTCCTTTTTGATTAAATATCAGGTCCATTCCAAATATATTTCGTCCCTAAATATATTTTAATGAATAAGAAATAAATAAGAAATCCTGTTATAAATATTGATTTTATCGTTTCTAACGAAAACGTAAAACAATACTGATACATATAAATTCATAAAACAATACTGACACACATATAAATACATAACAAAAATAAAAAATGGAATTTTAGATACTATCCTCGTGGTTTGGAATCTGGATATACGATTAAACATTTTACTTGTATCATTTTATTTGGTATAGTCACAAACGAGAGTCACATTTCGATATTAAATGTTTGATAATACTATTTAAAACTAAATAAATATGCAGTAGTCAATCACCAATTGCCAATCAAAATAATTTTAGGAAGTAATGTAGTAAGTTAAAAATTATTTTTAAAAATAATAAAGTATAAATAATTATATATATGAAATGTATATAATATATATTAATATTAAAACACAGATAGAGCTCTTTGTGATACATACATAGATGCATAATATAAAACGCAATGGTCCTAGATACTGATTTCTTGTATCAGAATCTGGAGGCATAGAGGTATATGTATTTATATCTCGTCTGTGCTGGAGATGTTATTTTCCCGAATCAACTTCTTTCATTTTGTTTGACGTATTCTCTAATTCAACGTTGTTTAAGCAAAGAGAACGCTAAAATACCAATGATTTTTTTTCTTGATCGGTAATACAGACCCTGAGACACGAAACCCCATTTGATGTCTGATCTATCTTAATTAGTCAATGATTGAATTGAACATAGTGATACTTCATCAATGAAGGAATAATTTAAAAAAAAACAAATTAAGAAAAACATTCGATGTTTCATTTCATACTTTATATTTTAGAATTTTATAATGTTAATAAATTTGATCTATGGGGAACGTGGAAATGGTTTTTAAACACTTTCAATTTAAATTCTTTGTGAAACATTTTTACCGACATATAATACAATTCTTTAAATTATTATTCGTTGCTCTTTCTTAATTATTTATAAATAACGTAATTATTATAATTAATATTACCGTAAGTAACGTAATTATTTATAAATAACGTAAATATCGTCTTAAAATATATAAAAAATACGCAATTGTCTTTTTCTTGCATAGGTTGCGCATAATCAAAGCGGAGATGGCGCTAGAATTTACATTCGTTACGTGTTACATTACGGTTTATCAGTTTGTCATGACTCGTTGCATGCCGAGTGCCAAGTTTCTAGTATATTCCAGTCGAATATCACGATAAAAGTATTACACTCGCTGTACTTCGCTTTGCAGCATCGATGTGAAATGTATTCGATCAATCAATTATTCTGAATTTAAAAGATGTCTTTCACACGCTTGTGGGAACTTCACTTGTTACTTATCATTTTGTTTACATCGCCGTCAATCAGCAGTGGCGATCTAAAAGATTTGACACTTTGCGAAAGAAAGTCATCTCGCAGGTAATTAACTACCTCGTTCGCGTATTTGATGAATTCAACAGTATTTGTTTCGTACTTACAGCTTTACCAATGTTACTCAAATGATCAATTGTACTCCTTTCTGAATGTTGATATTATAATATCTGTGTGAACAAAAATTTACATAAAATTTGTATCTACAAGATGAAAGTTGTATTATATCTTTCTATATAAATTTTAGGAATATATTGTTGTTATTAACGATTTGTAAGAGTGAATAATATAGAGTAAACAACAACAGAAAATGTTATATAAATCTAAAAAGTTATATTTTTAATGTTGAACATTCAGTTTTATTCTTATTTTGTCTGTATTTTATTTACGAATGGAAACATTGTATAAAGTTAAATATAATTTTGTATTTTTCATTGCAGCTTGTTATTTGTAAGTACATTAGATGGAAAGATATCTGCTTTGGATGCAAATAATCTTGGGAAAAAACAATGGACATTACAATTCAACGAAGGATCTATGTTATCATCTAATATTCATCATAGAGAGGTAATCATTGAATATATTTTATGTTTTTAATATTATAAAAGAACATCAAGTATTTTTCCACTTTAATTTTTTGTCCTAATACTTTGTCTCTCTGTTTTTTTTTTCCATAGCTTAATAATAATGGAAAATGGGTTCGTCTGATACCATCTCTAAACGGTGGATTGTATCAATTTGATGAAGAAAATTTAGAAGCCGTGCCAATAACCACAAGCCAGCTGTTGCATTCATCTTTTCATTACTCTGATGATCTAGTGTTTTCTGGTGGTAAAGAAGTGAAATCATATGGTAAATATTTAAAAAATGTAAATAAATAATTATTTATAGAAAAAAAAAGATAATAAAGAAATGGAATTTGAACTTTTGCTAGGTGTTTCAAGTGCAACAGGGAAAATTTTATATGAATGTGGAATTAATAATTGTGTTAATATCACAGATGAAGAAATGTACATTAAACAAGAAATTCTTATTGTTCAACGATTTCAACAAACTGTAAGAGCAGTTGAACCCCGTACCGGTATTGAAAAGTAAATTTCATAAAATATAAAGTTTATTGAACATTGTTAATGAAAGATATTACACTGAAATATTACATTAGGTGGAATTATAGTATTGGACAACATAACTTAGTACTTGTTCCTCATACTGATATTTATTGTCAAAATGAAGTAACACCTGATCTAGATATTGAAATTAAGGTTATTGTACCTGACGGCTTGATTTGGGCTGTTAATGGAAACGACCCTACAATAAAATTATGGCAACATAAAGTAAGTTTTAATCAGTGAAAAAAGAAAATATACATGTTTTTTTTGTACTAATTACATATACTGATTTGTTAGTTTGATTCTCCAATTGTTACTATATGGCGCGAAGATTCAAGTTCAAAAGACAATGAACATAACAATTTAAAAGAAATTAATTTATTTGATAGTACACAATGGTCTTGGGGTACAGACTTTTCAGTCAGTCCAGCTCTTTATTTGGGTATGCATAACAGGCAGTTATATGTACAAGAAAATACAGAACTGTACAAATCATTAGATGCATCACCAAGGTACATGCAGCATACGAAATATCCATGGCAACCTTATCCTGCTATTGGTATGGAAGTTGAGTTTTGTTTTTGATTTTAAAATATGTCAGTAATATTATAACAGATACATAATACTACAACATTATATGTAATAAAATATAATATATTTCAGGTAATGCAATTAAAAAGTCTCTTTTAGATCATTCAGTAAATGATAATAAGGAAGATGATATGTTATTTGAAATAACAAATGCACAAAGTACTACTGCATTATTAATTTTATATAATTCGGAATATATAAATGGTATATAAATATAAAACATTAAAATTTCGTCAATAATAGAAAGTTTTTTTAACATTATTTTCTTTGATATAAATCTTGTTTAGGAAATGGATTTTATTTGTACTCGACAAACCAGCTGGAATTGGATAATAACAAGCAATGCAATCGTACACTAAATTTAATGCTTATAGAAGAACGAAAATCATTTAGAGGAAATTATACTCAGGAAGAAGATGAAAATACTCCGGTTCAAGTTATTATCGTATCATTGTGGTATTGGTGGTATGTAAAATGAAACATAATAAAATATAAAATATTCTTCATAAAAAATCTTTATTAAAAATAGGAAGGAAGTTTTGATAATATCGATTACCACTGCTGTTCTACTGAATTTTATGTTAACGCAACGTCTGTTAAATGCTACAACGGTCACTAAAGATGCAGTGCTTCCGGTAAACAATACTATATTTTAATGTTATAAAATTTTTAAAACGCTGATGTTAGGCATGAATTAAAAGTATTTATTTTTATATGATTATCTAGCCTTTAATAGTTGAAAGACACATAGAGACAAATAATCAACTAACTGATGAAAAGGAAATCAATAGTTTTAAATCACGTTATCTCACAGATTTTGAACCAGTAGATTGTTTGGGAAAAGGTGGTTATGGCATAGTGTTTGAGGCAAAAAATAAAATAGATGATTGCAATTATGCTATTAAGAGAATTGCCCTGCCAAACAGGTTTGTTAAAGTATTTTGCTAAATTCTACAATATAATTTAATACAATCAAGCATAAAAAATGGATGTAACCAAATTTACAAGCTTCTCTTTTATTTTATTCAATAGTACCTATTCAAGGGAACGTGTAATGCGAGAAGTAAAAGCATTGGCTAAGTTAGATCATCAAAATATTGTAAGATATTTTAATGCATGGCTCGAATGCCCCCCTGTAGGATGGCAAGAAAAACATAATCCTCAGTGGATAAACAAGATTCCTAAATCTTCACGTTTAGATTTTACTTCAGAAGAAATTCACATGGAAACAAAAATGAATAACTCTGTTTGTATTAATGTTAGTCAGACTGATCAATTATCAATAGACAGTGCTTGTGAAGCTTATGAATTAGACAATGATTTGGATGAAGACTCTTTTATCGTGTTCGAGAAATCTCAGTTAGTAAATCGAGGTGAAAATGTCATCAACATAAGTAACTCTACTACTGAGAGTTCTGATTTGTCATCTTCAAGTAACAAAGTTGAAGAGACATTGTCAAGAATTGCTAATTCTTCACATTCCGAAAGTATTGTGTTCAAAGACACTAATAGTGAAATATCAGAAAGGGAACAGACAAAAAAACAAAGATCGTTTTCTTTAGACCTGAATAATAAGTCGAGTACGCGTAAGTCTCCGAAAATGTTCCTTTACATACAAATGCAGCTGTGCCAAAGACTAAGTCTCAGAGAATGGCTAAAAATGCAGTCAATGCGAGATTATCGTCATGTGTTACATATATTTCATCAAATTGTTGATGCTGTAGAATACGTTCATTTGCAAGGACTTATTCATCGTGATTTAAAGGTAATGTCTAAAATAACAATGATGTTTTATATTGCAAAAGTGAAATTTGCTATAAAACTTAAAGCATAATAAACGAATTTCAGCCATCGAATATATTCTTCTCTTTTGATAATAAAATAAAAGTTGGAGATTTTGGCCTTGTAACTGCAATAGCAGAAGGTTATAATGAAGCTCATACTCCTTCTTCAGAGAATGAAGATATTACACTTAAAAGTAGTTTACATACCGCATATGTCGGTACTCATCTTTATATGTCTCCTGAACAAATAAATGGTCAGGGTTATAATTATAAGGTTGATATCTATTCCTTAGGAATTATTTTGTTTGAATTGCTTATTCCATTTGATACCGAAATGGAAAGAGTAGATGTCCTTAGAAATTTGAGGAAGTCAGTATTTCCAAACAATTTCAGTCATAATTATCCGGATGAGGTAAGAAAAATTTAAACAATCATTCTTTAGTCTTTTTTTCTAGACAAAATCAATAATTATTATTTTTAGTACAATTTGTTGGCCATGATGTTAGATGAGAATCCTAGCAAAAGACCCACAACATTAGGCATTAAAGCAAGGCCACCATTATTAAACTATGAAATAGCTAATGGACTCAATATGGATAAAGATACAAAATGGCATTTCGAGTTACCTCTGTTGACTCGACATTCCTCTGTAATTATCAATAGTAGTAGCGAATGAAAAAATGTAGCTATATGTTTCGTTTACTGTATTGATCTATTATTTTATATATTATGAAATTATTATAAATTTAACGAGGATATTTGCTCAATTCTTTTATTATAAGACAGCATTTATTCAGAATCATTTGAACAAAAACAATGATTGCAAAAATTTACACAAACAATACAAAACGTGAAATGAACAAATTCATAGTTTTTCCAATACAAATTCATACATTGGCTGTTTTGTTTTATATTAAATAATTGACATTCATGTTTTGTTATATTGTCTTCAAAATGTAAATATAAGCTGCTATCGTTATTAGACGACACTTGTATAAATATATTTTTTATATTAATTCATATCATCTAAATATTTTCCTATAAAAATCATATTATTTCATACTGCTATGACTTGAAGAATATTAATATTATCTTTAATATTGTTAAAAGTAGTTATATTTAATGTTACAATTAGAAATTTATGTAAATCTATTTTGTAACTACATTAAAAAAATACAGGAATTTTATTAATTCACTAATTAGTGCTTTTAAATTCTATAATTATTGTAGAATATTAAGAAATACTTTGTGCCTTTTGTTTAGTTGAAAGATTCAATTATCATCTAAAATTCTTGATACAACTTCATTTACAGCTTGTTCGCTGCCAAGTAGTGTTACACCCTTTTTAGATAAAACAAAGTTTATAATAGATGTGGGATTAGTATTTAACATTTGTGGAAGTCTATAAAAACCATTGCTAGAAAATTACATACTTATTTTATTTTAATTCTAATTTCTAGATTAATGAAGTAACGTATTAATTTTGTTATATATTACCCATTTCGGGCATCTTGGAATATTTCCAACAAATACCAAATTATTAAGATTATGAAACACACAATTATAATTTCATAAATAAGACTCCATTCTTTCCAAATTGTACTTTCAAATTCTAAGAGATTAAAATTTTTTTTATAAATATAATTATTCTATTTAACAATAATTATTCTACTTAAAAGCAATTACATTACCTTCATTTTTATCTACTACAGTAATACCAAATGTAAAAAAAGTTTGACCTAAAGCTTTGTTTGATTTATTTCTATAATGATAAATGTGACATGAATAAAAATTTTCTGTTGTATCTCGAGTTGTGTAGCTTGCAATACTAATAGTAGTAACTCGTCCATTATTCTTCAGATTGAAAAAATTATTGCTTGACAGAAAATTAAAGATTATAAAAGAAATATAAAAAAAGAATAAATGTTTGAATTTGATATATTTACTTATTTCCATAAGATTGTAATAATTTATCCATTAACAACCACAAAACATATGTTTGTTAGAAAATGTGTATCGTTTTTTCGTGTATCGTTGTATCGTAGATACATGATAATTTAAGTTCTTGGCTTAAAAATAATGGTAGTTCTTCGCAATAGTTTGAAAAATTATATTCAAATGTATTATCGAATTATTATTATAGTATATTCAAATATACTATATTATTATTTATAGTAACATATTAAGTATTACCAGATATACTAATAGTACGACTAGAAAATCGTTTGCTACTTATTTCTAAAATTGGTAAGGATATAAGGTCTATTTCTTTTCCATTTATATTCAGATATGCAAGAGTAAAACTCATTTGTGGTATGTCTACACATTTGGAACATATTTTTTCCTATAAAAAATTATCAATTTCATATATCAAATTGGGAATTTTTGTTTTAAATAGAGTTATTTACTCTCACATCATCACGTATAGCTCCTAAGAATATGTCAGTTACAGATGTAATCATTGTTTTTTCAAAATTGAAGGTATATATTTTTTTTCACTTCCATTAATTTGCATGTATATATTTTTACCGTCATGAATCAATACTACTTCAAACCATTCTCCTATTAAAATATGTTCCACACTTTCAATTGCAGCATAAACTGTTCCTTGATAAAATTTGAGCTTCACTCTTCCCTCCTCTAATAGTAATAAAATATATTTATTTAACGAATTATCTGGTATTATTGCCACAACTCTATTTACATCTTCTATTTTTATAACAATTATAATCTAAATTATATAATTATAGTTATATAGTTATATAATTATATAATTATAGTTATATATAATTATAGTTATATAGTTATATAATTATATAATTATAGTTAATATTACAACATTATTTAATAACTTTTGTTTGAAAATGTTATTAGTTAAACACAATTGCGAAATTCTTACTTTCCAATATTCTATACTTTCTGAACATGATACTGTAACTGAATCTGTTACACCAATATGAATAATACCTTCATTGTCATCTCCTATCAAATATTGAACATTATTACTATAGGACAAAAGGTTTGCATATTTTGTATTGTAATTATCCTAAATGATATTTTATATTTTTAAATTTATTTTGCTTAATATTAATTACAATTATAGAATTCAATTAATATGACTAACTTTTGATACACGAAGTTGAACAGGTGCAAAATTAATTGTTAATTCTTGAATTTGACCTTGAAATCCTCCTACTTTCATCATATGATCCAGATTATATGACTTTGGAATGCATGAAAAAAAAGCTAATTTTATGAAAACCATCATCAATATGTAATATACCATGTGTTCTATATATTGCAATTAACTGTCCAATCTATAAAATAATTTACATCAAATATAAAACAATCAATATATATAAAAAAAAGGATATTTCTTACTTCTAATTTGGTCTCATGAATCAAAACTAAAATACAACCAGCAATTTGAGATAAAAGTATTATCTTTCCATTTTGGAGAAACAATTTTATAAAATCACACATTGATCCATTACAATCCTTTTCAAAACGATAAATGATCATACCAAAAGGAGATGATGGTAAAAATCTTAGATATACATGAAGTAAATGTGAAGGTCTTCCACTTGTGTCATACAGAAGACTACTTTTTTCTGTAAAATGTGCTACTTCGTGTGATTTAACTTTCGAATGGAATTCAGTTATTACAATTTATTTCAATTAATGGTAACATTATTAGATTCTAAACATACCTATACATGGTTTAATGAAACAATGATGAAATTCAGAAGCTGAGCCAATACAAGATGTACCACTACCACTTCGAGAAGGATTGTTGCACATTCGATTTCTTAATTGTGTACCAATCCCACAACTTGAACTACAAGATGACCAAACTGTCCATGATGACCACATTCCATTTACTAATAAAGACTGATAATTATAAAATAATTCTTGCAGATTGTATAAATTATTTTTAGAAAATATATGACATTTTGTTTATGTAAAATAACATGCTTACTGGAACAATTATCAATTACACAGTTCTTTATATCTTGGGATGAACCTTTACATGAAATTTCTTGTAAATTTTGTATTTCTGAACATGAACGTTTTTTTATTTGAACTCCGCTACCACATTCTACACTACATGTGCTCCATTTGTTCCAATTAGTCCAAGTACCTGCTATTAAAATAACAAAGCAGTATGTAATTTAAAAATTATATCCTGTATGTATACTTTTAAAACATATCTAATATACTTGAGGACTTTCTGCAATTAAATCCTACA